GGCTCTAGCTCTAAACAAAAAAAAAAAAACACCCCCAACAAAAAAACCTCACTCAGGCTTCTGCATCCTCTGTGGTGCTGGGGTCTGCTCACCCCCAAATACTGTACCCTCTCTGGTGCTAGGGTCCCCACACTGCAGCTGGTCCCCAATGATGCCGCCTCCTTCCCCAAATAGCCTCACCCAAACCACAAGTCTTAACATTCAACACAAAACATAGGCTTCTAAGGCCATATAATGGAAAAAATGATAATATAGAAACAAGAGAGGCAACATGCCTGCTTACTTCAGATGATCATGAGGATGGCTTGGGGCATGGTGTAATCTTCCAACAGAGACTGCAGCTGCAGCACCATGGTCATTGGGAGTCTGCCTCCCTGCTGCCCCTCTGGTCTTCTCCACTTGCCATTTGTAGGGTCCTGGCCTTCCTCTTCCTGTCACCTGACTGGCTGGCAGGGCTTGAGCCTTAACCCCTGCTTGACTGGCCGGCTGTGACTGGAAGGTTCTGAACTTAAAGGGACCACCCTGTCTCTTAGTAACAGGGTTAGGTTTCCCTGTTACAGTAAGAATACAAAATTCACATGAAATACCTCTCTCATTGCAAGCAAACAGCTCGTGTCTGCTTCCCAGCTGGGAACCCTTTTGAGCATTGGTATAAGAAATCATTTTCCTCTCCCTAACTGAAGAGAAAGTATGGTACATTGGAGGAACACTCTAAAACATTGGGGAATATTTTAACCTTGTTTGCATTTCAAGGAGGATTAATTTTCTTTGACTTGAGTTCAGTCCTGAATCTACAAGCGTTTTTTAGTGCATTCTGAACTCAAGGACAGCGTCTTTTCTTCTTTTCTTTTTTCCTGTGATCATCAGCAGAAGATGACATGCAAATTGATGAGAAGTGTGTAGAAACAGGTAACTGATTTAATTTGAGAGGATTTTTTTCTGTTTGCTGCAATATAACAACTAGACAAAGTCAATTAGTGTTTCTTGGACAGAATGAATCTACCTCATAGTCATCCAAGAGAGAAATTCTGTTTTTAATTAAGTAAAAAACGGAAGCAAAAGCCCCAAACTATCTCAATGTATTGTAATGAATAGGTTATCATTCTGGTTATAGTGGATCTCTGCTTGTAAATAAGGTGTTATGAAAATAATGGCTATTCTAAAATATACCATTGAATGAAATCCAGCCAATTGACTGTGCAGATTATAAATCTAAGGGCTGCAACCCATCTGACTTTTGGCTCACTATATCTGAAATATTCAAGTTACTGTGGTTTTATAGAGTTTGTAAAAATCATTGTCCAAAGAATTGAGGAGTTTATCAAGAGCCAAAAAGGGTTAGAAGTTTATATATTGATAACCAGTCTATCCAGTGTTGAATTAATGATGAAAAGACAGTTTTGGAAAGGGTACGAGCTTTAGGGCTTACACCAATTTACTAACTGGAAGTTAAGCAGACATTTTCTTAGAGACTGCTCATCTCATACTACTTACTACTGGACTTCTTGTGCTACCATCAGTAGCAATGAGTTCCAGCTTCTCTTAAGGTGCATCTACATGTTGCCCTACAGCAATGTAGTGACATGCTGTGTCACCATATGGCATGCTACAGTGATGTAGCAATTACATGTCTACACGTGATTGCCAGCTATGTCGTCGTTGTGGCATGCTCCCCAGGTATAGCGTGCCACTATGGTGGCATAGCAGTGAAATTTACCTGTGCGCCATGCGTACAGCACAGTACCCACCTGTACTGCACCGTGCTTCAGTACTTCAAAAAGAAATACTAATGCTTGGTGCCATAGCAATGTCACCATATAGCAACATATAGATGTGCCCTTAGAGACCTAAAGTTAGGTCTAGCAATTCTTATGTTTCTACATTGCTCAGGGCCTGTTTCCTTAATTCTTAATGCAGAGAGCTTGAGTTGGTGATTATGATCCAGTCATTACTTTTAATTGCATTATTTTAATGTCTGGAACATAACCTTGTATGTGACCTTATGTATGGTACTACAAGCTGAATCACTATATTGAAAGTAGGGATGAGGAAAATTAAAATACTTGGTACAAACATCTTCAGATTTGATGGTTTTGGTTTAAGATCTTCACTCTGTAGTTCAAGCTTATTTCTAATTCCCCTAGAAGGAAGGGGTGAAAGTAAGTGTAGGGGTTAGGAGCTTAACAACTTAATGTGGTTCCTGTGCTGTTAAAAGGAAAAAAATTCTTGTGTTACCTTCAAGTTACCTTAAATAGTAATAGTACTGAAATTAAACCTATGCTGTGTTTACTTTCTGGATGACTTAAAAGATGAAGAAATATTTGAGTCTGGTAAGTAAAATGTTTCCCACCTAATTCTAATTCCCCTTATCTTTACTGCCAAAAAGATTAACAGGCAAGCAAGTGTTTTACTTGCATTTATTATTAGCTTTGTAAAGTGTTACCACCACCTTCAGTAGACCTTTTGTTCTGAGTTTATTTAGAGACCTACCTTGTAACTTTAGCAACAAAAATGTTTGTTCGTGTTACCTCTGTAAAGAAGGAAGAGAGAGCTCAGCCACCTTGTGCATCAAGGTTCATGGAGATAAGGATCTCCCAGCCCCCGCTCCCTGATTGCATTCTGGCAGCTGGGGGCTTGAAGGTCCCTGCTGCTGGGGCAGGGAGACATGAATAGTAATGAATTAGCACACACAAATCTTGAAAGCAAAAGCTCAACATCAGTGTCAGAGGGAATAATGGGATTACATAGGTGTAATTAGGGCTTAGTCGCAGTGGGTGCATCTACATGCAGCAGTAAACTGTGCAGTAAACTACTCTGGAGTAAGAGTTTTTAGGATGGTGTCTACACATGAAGAAATTAGGGATCAAATTGACTCCAGTTCCCTCCATCCCTGCAGTGGCCCCTGCTGCCACCGGGGGGAACTCCAGGCTCCCCTGTGTGCTAGCCCAGGGGCTGGCAGTGAGCACTGGGCCCTGGGGGGCTGTGTGTCGCTGGGACGGAGAAAATATTCTCCTGCCCTGGCAACAGGGAGCTCCTGGCCCTGGCTCCCTCATCAGGGGCATGGAGCTTGGAAAGACCTACAGGGGAGGGGCAGGGGGAGATAAATGTCTCTCAGTGCCCCGCTCCCCAATTGCAATGGTGGAGTGTGGGCTGGGAGATAAGGATCTCCAAGCCCCCACTCCCTGATCGTGATCTCAGAGCAGGAGGCTTGGAGCTTTCTGCTGCCTGGGCAGGGGGACATAGTCCCCAGCCAGGCTCCTGTAGCAGAGCCTGCCTTGGCAGCAGGCAGCTCCCAGCACTGTCTTGCTACAGGGCTGTAGGTTCACACACACACTTGGTACATGCTTTGTGTATTTCATAGTCTTTATTCAAACTGAAACAAATGTCGTGCCATATTAGACCAGTTTGACCACCTACACTTGTACTTTTGCTTAATTTTTCATCTGTTTTATTACATGTATCTGAATCTTCAGAGGAGCTTAAAGAAGGTAACTTTAAAATCTTTTTTGCCTCCTATAGATATTCAGCAGCAGTCTAGATTCATAGAAAACTAGGGCTGGAAAAGACCTCAGGAGGCCATCTAGTTTTGGCCCCTGATCAAGGCTTGTTGCCTTTCCATACCTAACTAAACCATCCTAGCCAAGTGTCTGTCTAACCTGCTCTTGAAAACTTCCAAGGATGGAAATTCCACAAAACTGTCTAGATAGCCTGCTTCAACACTTGACCACAGTGAGAAATTCTCCAGCCTATATTTCCTGTGCTGTACTTGGAGTTTATTGTTCCTAGTCCTGTCCTTACAACCATAGGAAGTAGTCTTATAGTCTCTTAATCTAAAAGGAGAAAATGACTACAAACTATGAGAGAGTATATAGTGTATATATACTATAAATCAACCCATTTCTAGTATATTGTTGAATTTACTTGTTCACATTGGAAAGTATTGGTAAGGGAAAGATGTCCAACAAGAGAAAATAAATAAGCTTGGGAAGGAATGGCATCTTAGTAAACTGGAAGATTATCTTAGAGGCAAGTCTGAGGTGAAAAGCAGCCCAGGAAATCTGGTTGTACTTTAAGGAGGCCATATTAAGGGGATAGAAGCAAGGTACCCAAATATACCAGAAGAATGGGAAGTGCAACAGCAGACCAACTTGGCTAGACTGCAGTCTCTTCAACTAGTTGAAACTCAAAAAGTAATCCTATAAAAAGTGGAAACATAGTCATAGTACTAGGGAAGAGTATAAAGTATTGCATGGTATTCAGGGAGAAAATTAGGAAGGACAAGGCACTATTTGAAATGCAGCTGGCAAGGGATGGAAAAAGTCCTAAAAAGGCATTCTACAAATATATCAAAAGTAGAAGGAGGACCAAAGAAATCATAAGTCCCTTATGGTATCAAACTCATCTGGCCCTGCATGTTGGATGAGGAATGTTAGATTGTCCCCACAGACCCTTATAAACCCCATGCCAGATTCAGCACACCCTGCATGCAGTGCCCCCCCCCCATTCCAGGAACTTCACTGCACACAGCACCCCATTCTAGCTGGTCCAGGCCCCATGTTGCATGTGGTGACTGCAGGTGCTGTTTGCAGCACAGGGCATGGTCTGGCTGCAGTGGGTACTGCATGCAGTGTTTATCTTGGACCAGCTGGGGGTAGTGGGATGCTGTGTGCAGCACAGATCCTGAAACAGAAGGCCCATGAGGCAGAGTTCTAGACAGGCTGGGGCAAAGTGTTGTATGTAGCATGGATCCTGGAGTGGGCACTCTTTGAAGCACTTTCCCAAAGCCCGACATGTGAGGCCAGTCCATCTTGTACTGCATAGGCCAAATCAGATCTAGGGTAAAACTGGGGATTGGGTGATGCGGCTTCATAGACTGTGTCCAGCCAATGAACCATATCTTTGACTGCCCTCCCTCTGCCCCCACCTTATGGGATACAGAAGACTAATGCAGAGAAAGCTGAAGTATTTAATGCCTTTTTGCTTCAGTCCTCACAAACAGGGGAAGCTACTAGATGATGAGTGCAGCTGGCAGCAAAGATAGGGAAGAAGACAAACAGCCTAGGAAGTGGAAGAACAGGTTAGAGTTTACTTGGAGAAGGTAGATGCTTTCAAGTCAGCAGGGCCCGATGGGATGCACAAGAGGGTACAGAAAAAATTGCTGAGGTAATTTTGTAATTTCAGAGCCATTAGCTATCCTTGTTGAGAATTCATGGAAGCCAAGTGAGGTCATGGATGACGGAAAAAGGGCAAATATAGGACACCTATACATGTGCTCCAGGAACACTTTAACAAGGTGATCAGGAATAGCCATCATGAATTTACCAAGAGCAGAACATGTCTGACCAACCTGATTTCCTTCTATGGTAAGGTGACAGGTCTGTGGATTGGGGAGAGCAGTGGATGTGATATACCTTGACTTTGAAAAAGCTAGGCTTTTGACACTGTCTCCCATGATATTTTTATTAGAAAGCTAAGGAACTACATACCTGACGAAAGTACTGTCTACCTGGGTCCGTCCCAGGCCCAATAGTATTCAGCATCTTCATTAATAATGTGGATGGTGGGATTGAGTGCACACTTAGCAAATTTGCATGTGACACCAAGTTGGGTGGAGTTGCAGATGCTTTGGAAGGTAGGGCTAAGATCCAGAATGATATGGATAGATAGGAAACTTGCCTGCAGTCAATCAGATGAAATTCACAAGGACAAATACAAATGCCTGCACTTGGGATGGAATGATTGCATGCACTTATACAGACTGCTTGCAATACTTTCTAGACTTCAGTAAGGCCTTTGACACCGTCTCCCACCCCATCCTCATTAAAAAAAACTATGTGGCATTGATGCCTACACAGTCAGATGGATTGCAGATTGGCTCAAAGGTCATACTCAGAAGGTGGTGGT